GGCTTGTTTTACAACGTCGTTGCCAAGCGGCGAAAACCCAACCTCGATGGCAAACACCGGGGGGATTTTATTTTGTCCTCACTGTAAATCCGTTGTTCTTTGCACACTTTCGATACGCATTCCTTTAGTCCATCCTTCGAAACCCTCAAGTTTGATGTTTGATGGTAGTTTGGTAGAGTCAGTGGACAGCTTTCTGTCCGAGTAGCACCGATGTGACGGGACGTGCTTGGTTTTTCGCGATTGTCCCACAGATCTCTCTGCATGACTTCGTGGTGGGCTTGCTGAACTACTGCATTGACAGCAAGGAGAACCTCTCCCGGTTGGCTTTCGACGTGTACGACCGACACACCACTGGCACCATCACCGAGGCGGATTTGGAGGGAATGCTCATCGACGTTTGGGGGACCAACTGGTCAGTGTCTTAATGCTTACCACTGGAGCCTTTGGAAGAATAATCGAATGCCAAAAATTACCTCGCCACTGATGAGACTACCCCGTCGCGTGTTCTGTTGACTGTGGCATCGTTTCTAAAGGATGATCAAGTTTTTTTGTTCAACGCAATTTGGATGTATCACAGGGCATCCAGCAAGGCGGATCAGGGCGGGTGGAACGTGTTGTGTGGAAACTGGTCAGCCAGCACATCATTTGTCGTTCCTCAATATATCCCCTGTTATGAACCTTTTCCATCCAAGTACCTCTCTGAAAGCCGCCAAGTTAAGTACAATCGTGTTCCTGTTGTCGAGTGTGCCGTCTTTCTACGACGAGCAGAAGTATACGGTGATATGAGATACACGGAGGAACCAAATCTACTACGACTGGTCGTGATAACGCAATCACAATCTCATAGGAAAAGGCTCCTATGGCATCTTTCCAACGCGTGGGCAATGCGGTCAAGCCTTCGCTTTCTCTCCAACGCATGCCCACCTTGCCAGCCCCTGTCGAACCCCGGTTCCTCGATTCGGAGCAGCAGACAAACATATATTTTCGGCAGTTACTTCTGGCAGGGCACTGTGCGTCTTCGATCTATCCAAGAAAGAGTCTCCTACCTGGAGTGAGGCAGGGATTGTCGACGCTGTCTTGTCGATCGCGAAGGAATCACGCAATGAATATCGCGCCGCCCTCACTGATTGTGCTAGGGAGGAAGATGCACTGGCGAGGGGACTTCTGGCGGAAAGAGTCGGGGTCGACCCGATGCAGCCGACCGAGTGGAACGAGTTTTGCAGATCTTACCCCAACCTCCTGCATCCAATTTATAAGCTACAACGAACCCTTCAGGTTAGAATGCGAATATTAGCTGGTCCACACAACAATATAACCTCGATGGACAATATAACCTCGATGGACGGCAAAAGGCATCCCAGGTCCCATTAAGTACACAATGTTTTGAATGATGGGTCGCATGTCGCTCGCATTCAGTTTGCTTGCTGTTAGTAGCTGAACACTCAAGTTTTGACAGTTCCAGGTTTGGCATCGATGAGTCCAGGTTTAGGAGAAAATTCAGTCATTGCTTTTGGCTCCCCTTGCCGATCTTCTTGCTTTGTTGTAAACAGCGGTAACGTATTGTTAATTTTTCTCCGTTCACGGCTTGTTCTTGTCCCATCAGGACATGACCATCGGGAAGAAGCGATGGGCCAAATTGAACAAGAAAATGAAGCTCAGGGCAGCTAAGATGGGTAAGAAGCGAGAGGAACACCGGTGCGTTGTTGAGAATATCGTTTTGCCCCCCGCATGTGCTGGCTGCAATCTACTTCCGGAACTATCGCATCGCATCGGGAACGCTAAGCCTTTTGTTTCGTCGGGAAAAATCTCCCTGGCCTGCCCCCCTTGCCTGGGACTATGTATCTCTCGCGTTCGACGTCCTTTTGCCTACGGCCGTAGAAAGCAACACATCCTGCGCCAATCATATTCATCTTCCCACATCGCCAACCCAAGACCTGACATGGAGTTACCCGTTGTCCTGCGATAACCTACTTGTGAACGACTCGTGTTCGCGACTCGCGACAACTCGAAGAGGCGGACCACGCGCGCATGATGCGAGACGCTTTGACGGAAGAGGATAAGCAGCTGGCGATCAAGACTATCCGAGAAGAGAACGCCGAAGCAAGCAAGCTAAACGGCACCAGGAGTGAGAGGTATCACATGACGTTACTTGCCATCTGGACTGACGTCTAGTACTTCACGCGCAACACACGTGCCTGCTTCACAGCGTCGTCTGCACGTACAAATGGGCCCGAGCACAGCATGAAGCTATTGGCATGGCGTATATTCGAGAGTGGGAGGAGGCCGAGGCCATGCGAGAGCAACCGATACGCCAACGACGCCATCATCGTTTTCGATGTAGATGGATGCCTTCGGGGTCCGTTCAAACCAAGTCCGATAACCAATGCAAATTAGTGCGGTCTCGAACCTTGGGACAGATCATCTTCGATTAAGGCAGGTTGACGTTCGGCAAGGTGACCATGACTGAATCCACAAACAGGTGCGATGGAACTAAGTAGAAAGACGGTGGACGGCGGGTTCCCATCGACAGCGAGCAGCGGCGATTCTCAGGCAGTTATCGTGTAAAGGCGGCAACGAAAATCCTCGAGACACGCTCATCCTTTAACCGGGCCTGCTCACGAGAACAACGGAAAGAACCACACCTCTCGTTCCACTGTGGACAGCCACGGATGTTTGACACGGATCGCGCAATAAACAGCAATGATGTCCTTAGCCAGCTCGTACTCCATCCATATTGTAGGCATGAAACCAAAACCCGAAACACGCATACTCTGTGTGGCGCCAGGATCGTGGCGGTCAAGGCGGTTGCCGATGGAGGGGATGGAGGTCTGGTGCCAGGCCTTGCCGTGAGAACGGGTCCGGCAGGGCTCCTCGGCGGGACGTCAAAGATGGCACCGTGAGGCTCTGACCTTAGGGATTTTCTGTAGCTGTTGTGGTTGTTTCCACCGTTGCTCCGGTGCCCGTTGTATGTCGACACGACTACAAAAGTCCCACGCCAGCCTTTGCGTATTACCTCACGATCCCGTAGATGCCGCCACCAAAGTTGCAGAATTAACTTTGGAGGCCATGGTCGAGAAAAGGTACCAAGAAACCAGGCGCATCACGATTGTCTTCTGACGTTCAAGAACGTCGACAAGCCAACCAGGAGCAGCAAGCCTTTTGGGGACGCACTGCTTCCTCTTGTTTATCTTGTTTGGGTGGTAGGGTGCGAGGGCAGAGATTCGCGTCCTTGCTGGCTTGATTGGTGCAGACGAGAAACCGAACAGAAGGTCCGTGAAGAATCAAACTCACGAAACAACAGCAACAACAACGACAACGACAACCGCATTCCAAACATAGCCTTTCTTTGACCAAGGGTGGCACGCAGAAGTTTCGGAGGTGCAGCACCGCCACTATTTCCCCTACCCCCTTGCCCTTCTACCGGACCCAAGAATGACGTCAAGCTTGGAGGCACGGAACCGTCTAAATGCTGCCAAGAATCGAGCGAACGTGCTGGGAGTGGACACTTCCTCGGGAGACAAACACCCGCTCGTGAGGTGAGAATCATGGTGATGGGTTGGGCTTCACTGGCATATGTAGCGTTTTTTTGGGCTGTACCCTGCCGAGGTAAGACCTACAGCAGTACCTCGGACGAGAAAGCGGTGGATTGAAGGGGGTCCCTGAACTCAGGCAACCAATTAATGAAATCACCATCGAAGGTGTCTCTCGCGGCCAACATGACTTTTGCCCAATGGTTGGTGCAAGCGCGAATGCCTTTTTCTCCGGGCCTCACCGCGGAAGTTCGGTTCTATTTCCAATTGGGACCAAAGGGAGCACGGGACTCCGGAACGAAAGAGCTTGGTTCTTCCACCCAAGGCGTGGAAAAGGATGCTGAATGTCTCCACGAAGAAAAGTTCCCAATGATCGACGTCTTTGCGCGTGATTGTGATCAGTACGCCGCCATTACCATAAGTGCAACAATCCCATCCAAGCCCAACGTGCATTTCTTCATGGTCGCAACTTCGTCAGCACGATCCACTGCGTACGAGCCCCCATGTCACATACGTGTCATGAATATGCATCTGAACCACTTCTCTTAGGTCCATCTCTGGTTGTGAACAAGAGATGCCAACGTTCGCCATGACGTCCCGAAAGGTCAAGGGATCCGATCTCGCGGAAGACGGGGAAGACGGGTAAAGTAACCGAACACACAGTATTTCTGTCACGGGTGTTCTTGTACAGAGTCAATGAATTTGGTTTCGTGGAAACGCCTTCTTGAACGTGATATTCAAAACGTGTGGTCGATGAAGCCATTGAAGAATTTGAGTTTTTTCTTCCAGTAAGAGAAAGTTGATACAAAATCTCTCTATCCGCGGGGTTGATGCTCCCCGCGTCAATGTCACTTATCCGATCCCACGCTGGTGTGCATTTGTTTCGCTCCCGCCGATGTTGTTGAGTATCGTTAGTCAATGTTGCAAGGTGGGCAAGCCCGAATTTCTGACACGACCGATCTCGCCGTCTTGCCATCTTCTACCTTGTAGGGACGGCTTGAACTCTCTGTCAGTGATGACAGCGGGGAGTAATGGCACAACACGAGCGCCCTTAGGCTCACCGAACAACAGCGGCCAGAGGCAAGCCCCCTCGCTTTCAGATGTGAGTGACCCTTGTTCCGTGCCAACATCAATTATGAAAACTACGCAACAACGAACGATGTCTCGCTTCGTCCATCCCTTGTCTCTCCGCTCACCACTGCCTCTACCGCTTTCCAACAAACGTCCTGTTGTCGGCACTCCCTACTGATCATCGCCCCTTGTAACGAAGACGATGATTGCGGGAGGGAGCGCGGGCCATGATCGAAGGCCTTCCTTGGCAGGCTCTCATCGGATCGGAGGGGGACACGGGTACTCTGGGAGCACGATAGGATGTGAGCGTCATGTCGCGGTGATATTGTGGAGAACAAGTTTGACTCATAGCTCATACTTCATCTCGTCGCATTGGTAGCCCTTTCAAGACTGGCGAACAAGAAGACCCGGTATACTACAGTACCATCTCGTATCATTTTTTACCGCCCGCGGCAACGTTCACGAGCTTACTGTTCCTCGACTGTCGTTTCCTTGGAGTTTTTCGCCACAATGAATATGGTGGACGTTTTGTGCATGTTCAAATCGCGGCAGGTAGAACAATAATCTCACCCATGTGTGTCTTTCCCATATCCCTCCAGATGGTGATAGAATGCCCCGGGGTTGATACTCTTGTTTTCTGGATACGAATAAAAATTAACATTTGCAGTTTTTTGTGCTGTTTAGACTTCGAACGGGCTGACAAGTTTGCATTGCAAGCGTTCTGTCCAGCCATCGTGCTGGGAAACCATCTTGCTGTTGAGACATTATTCGTGACTCATCCCAACAACGCGCGCCAAGGTTCAGTGGGAAGTGGTAGAATTGAAATTCCTGTGCCCGACACCAGCCGATGGACTGTTCATGGGTCGGGGTGGCTAACTATCTCATCAAAATGCGATCAAGACGAACTGCACACCCAAGACCGCCGCCCAATGAAACGACAATAGTGGCCGTGCTCCCCGGCTAGCATGCCATCCACCTACAGTTGATTGGATTGATTTTGAGTTGGTGGTGGGAAGACTTCGTCGGCGCGCCGTAATCATCGCGGAAACATTCATTTGATGCGGAAACTTCTACATATTGTTCATGCTCCTTTTTTCGCCAAAGAGTCCGTGCAACCTGACTGCACAGTAGACATTGCCTTCACGAATAACTGATTCACGCTTGGACCCTCTGCGGGACAAATTCGGGCATGCGGTCGGGAAAATGCGGGCTGATGGGTGCGGCAGCCCCCGTAGCGCGATCGAAAGAAGCGTCCGACGCGCGACGAACCTCCAGAGTGGTAAGATTTAGGCTAGCTACACGTTGTTGTGCTGTTGTTACTGTTCGTGATTATGGAAAAAATGTATTTCCGTACGAAATCAGAAATACTTGACGAGAGAGGGTTCCACCGTTGGCCCGGATTCACTCCAGCCATGTACGTGAGGCATGCATATATTTTGACACAACTTCATCCGTGCGTCAACCTGACGTGAAACCAACCTTTCGGACAACCTTGAAATCTGAGGGACGAAACGCGGATTTGCTATGACTCTCGTCTCGTGTATTGTCTCCGACTGTGGAAAACGTTTGCAAGTATCTTCTCAGATAGTGGTCATCCAGACCACCACCTTCCCTTCCACTTGACCACGATTTCGGGCCATCCACAGGGACTGTCTTGAGCCGCGGCCCCATAACCACCATCGCTGACGACGAACGATTGATTGGAATAGATTTCATCCCGGAAAAAAGGTGGATTAATCGCGATCGAGCCTGCCAACCCTCTTCAACGCATCACGAAACTGAATTGACCTTTCGTTACTCGACTCACGTGCCAACAACCGTGATTCCGGTACGGTCGAAGTACGCCAAACCAGCTATTTTTCACCGCAGTACTATGTTTTTCATTAGAATCCCCAAGCGCAGCACCGGGTCGAGTCCAGTGTTGAGGGGGCTCCCTGAGAGCAGGTCACTTTTTGCCCAAGCCTATTGAAAGTTGGCCAACCCTGTAGAGGATTGGGGTATCTATTATGGTTCCAATTTCGTACAATAACACCAAACCACTCCGCGGTTGAATGAAATTTGGAAATGGCACATGTTCCTGTGGATTATTGACAACCTTTCGCGGGTGTCTACCATTGCCATCATGATTATCAACAATGAAGGTACTCCCTCTCGGTACTGAGCATTGAAAAATATCAATCGAATCGGATAGATCCAAATTTTGAACAAACGATAAACCATCTTCGTGAGCTTTGTGAACTCCATATACCATCCCATCATCCCGACGCTTGCACCTCTGCTCAATCTGTTCCTGACGAAATAAACTGGATGCCGACGCCAAGGATCGGCCGTCCTCGGGCGACCTGGCACAAAAGCGGGCTTCAACGGCGATGGCTGCCACAAAGCGGTCATCGACCATGACCACCACTGGGGTGGGATCCCAAAGAAAAGCTTCCGTGGCGATCACGGCGATGAGCCATCGTCCCGATGTCACCGCGAAAACTGGAAAGCATCCTTCCATCGCCGGAGTAGGTGGAAGAGGCGCGGGTGCATCGAAACGAAGATCGACTGTGACCTATCGAGAGGGGAGGAAGGATCTTCTCCAGAGCCATCGGAAAGCTTCTCAACAGGGGGTCGGTGCTAGCAAGAAGATTTCACGCGCTGTCGTGGCAGCGGGGTCATGACATGCTAACCATACGACATCCATGGGTATGGGATGTGCGGTTCGTAGTACATAGACTACAGTTTTGTCTATGTGTTTACATGTTTGCCGATTATCTACCGTATTTACGGGCTCCGTTTCGAAGCCATTTGAAAGATTTCACAACGAAGTTCGCCAGTAACACCGCCAACGCGTTGTCCTGAAGGATTGAAGTCGATAAATATATGGTGGAATGTGCGGAGCACGGCGCATGCCGACATTTTATGTATTACCTGCACAGACTTGTTTTAGAGATAACAGCTAAGGGGGCCTTGATGTGGATGTTGCCAGTTAGTTGTGTTGCCATGGTCACGCGAACGTGACCTCTTCTTTCGCTACCCATCTGAAATTGCCCAATCGATGTGACGCTGTGACTGCCAATAAAGGATGGTCATAGCTCTCTTCGCTTGAGGAAGCGATGCAGCAAGGTATGGTGCAAATGTAAAAATGATGCCCGGGATAACCCGCGCTCTGAAGTACCTAGGTGCATTGCTTGACATCTGCTCGATTTCATCTGTGCCGATCCTCGCATTGCTTCTTCAATGGCACTGAGCACAATCTCCCCCGGTTCCCGGCTACAGTAGGCGAGGCAGAATAATATTGTTGCTTCATTCAGACCACTTTTCCGCTTGCACGTGCTGATATGGAGCCGGGGAGGCTCATGGACAAGTAAAGCTGATGGAACCCTTTTGGGGTATCCGGCGTAGTTCTCTTGGGCGCGGAACTCCGCTCTATGCAATGATACATCTCGAGCCGCTGTGCTGTTCATTGTAAAACGTCACACAAGAAAACGAATAGATCTAGGCCAAACGTTTTTAGCGGTGGGACATCCCGCCGTCGGTTCAGATTTTCTCTCCGTTTCTACCGTGTGACCGTGTGGGGTTTTCAACGCATGTTGAGGCGTGCCTTGATCAGAGAAGACAACGCAAGAAACTGACATCTCCGCAAAAAACAAAAAACAATTCCGAAGTGGCATAAGATGAACATCAGGTGCACGTACTTGCTTCCATCGCGAAACACATGAATCACACCTACGACAGCGATGCTGACCAGTAGACCCCAACATGCGCCAGTAAAACGCCGATGAACTAGGGAACAGCAAGGAGGTTGGTCGTCAGTGACCGACCACTGCGGTCTAACCTTAGCCTTAACCCAGGATGAACATGTCCTACGAAGCTCAAAGCAAAGGTGGCAAATCCTACAACATCTCCACGTGAAAAAACACGGGAGGGGGGGGACCCTTGCCGAATACAAGGCCTCGGCAAGGAAGCTAGAATGGAATAAATAAAGTTGATGACGTTGCATGCTTCATGCACATGCTCATAGCGTTGAGCTCGTGTTGAACTTGGAGAAACTCTAAAACACAAGCAGTTTTGGCGGGGCGTGCCACAACGTTGTGGGTCGACGAATGCTCCCTGAGCAAGCTGTCAATTCCGTAGCCATGGGTGGGCTGGAAATCTGGTCGCCTCAATTGCGATCTTGGCGACGACAAATACGTAGAGGGTAGGATAAACAAACACCCAACATCGACAGCACGCATCTCAAGCACACAGGCTTTCCGATAGAGAGCATCAAGCGTGTACTTGTATTGGTCGAGTTTTCAAGGTTCGGGTTGACATGTTTTCGTTCCAATAAGATTTCCGGCACAGACGAAAAAAGCTTCAAGCTGCGGGGCTTCCGATTGGGTGTGACTACATCTTCGGGGGAATTGGCTCCTCGTCCGGCTCCACTCCCAACATCTCCTGCGATCAGGTCGACAGCAACAACGGCAACATTGTCAGCACATGGTCATGGGGTGTTTCGGGGGCCAAGTGCAAGTTTGCCTCATGGAAAATATGGCGAGACCGCCAGGGGGTGGACGGTCTCCGTGAAGTCCTTCTGAACGCGTCCGAATGCTACTCTGCATTTGTAGAGCGAAGTTGGCAGGCATAGAATGGATCGAAAAATCCAATTTTCGACAGTTGAACCAGCATTCGCACCTTCGATCTAGCAGCTGAAAACACATACAAGCACCATCGGGTGGGATCAACAGTTCAGGTAAAAGCAAGTGTAATCGACACACGTTGAATGGTAGCACACGTCCAAAGAGGCTTCATACACGCGCAACTGCTTCAACCCAAAACGAAGAATCAAACCGTAGTCCCCACCCAAAAAGAATAGCCTTGTGCCGTCCGTCTGCGGTATCGTTTTATACACCATACTCATCGTGCTGCCATCGAAACAAGAAAAGCCACATTGCGGAGGGCGGAAGTACAAGAAGCGAAACCTCGAGGCGAAACTCGGATGAAGGAAGACTCGTTGTCGAGGAAAGCCACACCCACCCACCATGACGACCTTCGGCTTCTTCTCCATTCCGTCCGCGATCATGTCCACCACGTCCATTGCGTTGCGCTTGCGGGTCACCCACAGCGCACGGAACCTGACAACCACCCCGATTGGTTCAGATATATCGCAAACAGCAGCGACAACAATGATGACGTCGAGACAAAGAAGTTTGAACTTGTTAGCGCACACAGACCAGCACGCATAGCAGTGATGTACTGCTGCGGATCCGTACCCGCGTGGGGGGCTTGAATTAGAACAAGGATGTGTTCTGGACACATCCGCACGAAAGGACGCACAAAAACGCCACGACACTAGCTTCAGAAATGCCTGGCAAGTCCTGCCGGGATGGGGGGGGGGTGTACTCATAGTCGTGCATGCCGTAGTCGTTAGACCATTGACCTCGCATCCCTACAAAGCCCGGACGGAGCACGCCGGGTTCTCACCGGACCAGGCTCTCACATCACCAAGCGCGAAGCGCCGTGGGGTATTCGGCGAGTCGCATGAAGGGTGCGCTGCATCCTGCTAAGGGTGTTCGGCATCTTGTGCTTACTTCCTTTCGTACGGATGACAGCTGCGTGCGACTTAATATATTTTCTGGTGTTCACTTCCAGAGACAATTATAAGCACTGTGTAACTGCCTCAAGGGTGCTTGACCATTTTAACACAACGTGGTGCGATCATCCCCCTTGCGCGGAGTGAGGGTTCTCGACCCCGCACAACATGATCTACTCGACCACCAAAATGGTTACCGCCAAAAAAAAAAACGAGGTAAAAAAAAAACGGTAACCTGGTTGCCGAGTTCACGAAGTGAATTGGCTTGTTTTACAACGTCGTTGCCAAGCGACGAAAACCCAATCCCGATCGCAAACACCGATGGGGGGCCTTGTTTAACAACGTCGTCGCCAAGCGACAAAACCCCAACCCCGATGGCAAACACCGGGGGGGGCGGCTTGTTTTACAACGTCGTTGCCAAGCGACGAAAACCCAACCCCGATGGTAAACACCGGGGGGGGCGAGATGGAGTATGCGTAATTCGATTTGAATACGCATGAGCTACACATAAAACAGGGTTCAAGGGAGCCGTTTGGCAGCAAAACACCGTCTTGTTTCGATATTCACATCTTTTCTAATTGTTTGAGAACCTGTCGCAAGGGAAACATCGTCACAGGGGTGTCTCAAGGGAAACATCGTCACAGGGGATGGGCAGGGTGAGATCGCCACGTGCTGCAAGGAGGCGTCATGATCATCCCACACCGTGTCAACGTCAACGCAGAAAGCGCAGTTCCAGTCTGTTGCTGCAGTCACCAAGCGTTGGCCCGCGCGAAACATACTTGTTAAAGCTTTGCTTCGCGGCCTTCATCCCTCCCGCCGCCACGCTCCGGCCCTGCCCCTTCGCAGCGCCATTTCTCGCCTCCTGGTGTTGTCGTCGATGTCATTTTTGCCGCCGCAGCACAAGACTGTCAGGACAACCACGACCAAGACCAACCAATCCGGATAGGAAAAAAGTAACAGCACGCCAGAACGCCCTTTTCGAATGTGCAGCTGGGAAAGATACCCTTCTGTGAATGTAATGCGTAAGGTCGTCGCCGAAATTGCAAGGACAAAGAAGAGCGAATTGAAAGAAGAGACAAGATGCTTCCGCACCATCATCAACATCACGATATTCCAAAACGCGCAAACTCAAGTTTCCCCAGGGCGAACAAAACAAAATATGGAGAGAGGTCCACGTAGCATTTCGAAATCGGTTGTGCATTGATGTATGCATGAAATAGACAATAGACTCCGTCACCCGATTTAGATCGTCTGAGCGAAAATCGCAAGATCGTCCCGTATACAAAAGCCCCAACAGCATCAGAGTCTTTCTTTGTTCAATCAGCACAACCACAAGACCTTTACTTCCATGAGGAAAACCCTTACCGCCTGCTCCAGCTCTTGTGCGGAGTTGGCCAACTTCTTTGCCAGTTCATCATCCGTAGGCTGGCAGGAAAGGGAACTGACCCTCGCCCTAGTTTGTTGCTCCTGAAGAGCAATAACAACGGAAAATGGGATTCTACCTCAGATGTTTCTCCGCATGCAGGCATGGGTTCGAGGTCGGGGCTCCTTCATGAGTGGACTCGGAGGAACAAGAGACACAATTCCGTCCGCGGGTTGGTTCCGTGAATACGTATGACAACCTAGGACATCGACAATGCGCCCGTTGCTGTGCTTGAGCACAGCGGAGAAAGGTACGGGTGTTGGGAAGGACACATGGCTTGTTTGGGTTGTCAGTGAGGAGAAAACAACGCGCGATTGTGGTTGTGTAGCTCATGATGATCTGTCGCTCGCAGTATGCACCAACGTATGGCTTCGTCTTCTCTGCTGAGGACCTGCCACCCAGGAGCGCAAGGGGAATATTCTCTACTGTGCATACCTTCAACGCTATCGCGCAAAAGACTCCGCAACGCTCATCCTCTCTCGTCAACGACCACTGCGAAACGTGTAAACTCACGAACGTCAGCATTCAATGACGAGTAACGGGAGGAATTCGAGTCGTCAAATGCCGACTAACAAGCCCTTCCTCAAGATGATGGTGGGGGGGGTTGAAAACCTGACCTTGACCATCCAAGGTTTTGAGGATCCTCTGAAGGCCATGGGAAGGATCCATCAGCAGTGAACTATCGCCGCAACCTTTTTGTAGCAAAACGTGTACTGCTTGTGCCACACGATTGTCCGAAGAAACTTGCGCAACCATCGAAAATACTGTCGAAGAAGACTATGCCGCACCTGCTTGGACACAATTTCGAGCTGCGAAGTGAGGGTCTTGGCTTCTTGGTCCAGTGTTCGCATCTTGTCAGCAGAGGCATCGCCAGCCCCGTTCGGCAGGGCATCCTGACACCACAGAACAAGATAGACGATTTCAGAACAAGCACCAAGAGGGAACCTCACAAAGAAGCAAACACACCAACCGCGCGTGAGATATGGGGCCAAGGAGTCGTGGCCATCGTGCAGGTTCTGGCAGTCTTGATTCGTGATCAGTTGGCGAAACTCGTCGATTTGGTTGGTAGAGGCCAAGAAAAGATCCATGGGCTGGTTTGTCACCTGAAAAACTAAGTAGGAGTGGAGGAGAACAGGCACGCGCGGTGGAAAAAGTGGCACATGGCAAGTCATCAGTCCAGACCTTGTGCTCCCTCGATTCTTAATAGCGAGACGCTCCATGAGTTGGTTATAGCTCTTGGACCCACCTGCACGTTGGTCACACTCCTCATCTCCCTGGTTCAAGCGGTTTGGTGGTTTGCCGTGTTCCCACAACGAATCCTGCGGATACCCTTCCCCGTCACCATTATTGAATGCTATTATGGATTGTACATTGGAATGTCGTGCAGCAGTGCACCTGGTTAGCGTAGTAAATCCTGGCCTTTCCATACTCCTGCAGCTTGAGCGTTCCATCTCGCACCAACTCGTCCAGCAGCTTCTGCACCATCGCTGAACCGTACAAAACCAACAGCATGACCGGCACCAATAACAACGGTCACCACGCCGTCGTACACGCAACCTCAAGTCATGTAAGATCGCCACGTCGAGATAGGTCTAGGGCCACTGTGTATTGTAGAGATCAAGAGCAAGAAATAAATCGATATATGGAAACAACCAACAGCAAAGGGATACCCGTCGAAAACGCAACGTGCGCCAATCGCAAAAACATCACCGTACCACCAACAGTTCAATCCGAACCCATGTTCCACGGAATGGGGGCCAACCCACGGCAGGGTAACGGTGGAGGCTAGCATCGAGCAACCAAAGCCAATGCTAGGGGTAGAGCAAGACTGATGTTAACGGAGAACCCTATCATGTCTGTGGATGAATGGACCTACATGTGGGTCGATTCTGCGGTCATAACTTTGGTGTATGTATGTGTTTATCATCGTCCATGCCGTTCGGAAAGGGGGAAAAGGTAGTGATAGGACCCCTCAATACTGACAACTTGTTTGCGTAGTCACCCTTGGGGATCTTCTTGCGGAGATTGTCGAACACGTTGATGTAGCTATAGGGACGGTTCGACTGCAGCATGTAGTCGGAGACAGCCGCCTGATGGGACACGAGAGAAACAGAGGCAGAGGCAGAGACAGAACCAGAAACAGAAGGGGGGGGGGCAGGGGAAGAATGAAGGCATTGAGTCACAGAGAGGGAGACCAAGACAGAAGCACCAGAGAAAAGGTATCGGGCACGAATCGCGAACCAAGGTTTCGGGGCAAAATCGTTCTTCTAAGTATCTCATGAAGCCCCTGCAATGGGAGACTTGCCAACATGAGATCTCATAGAAGGGAAAAAACAAAAAAACAAGGAAGCAGCATGGGACTTCACATCGCGGTGCAGAGATCGGTCGGCACCTCGTTCTTATAAGCTACATTGTGTGGGTGGATCAACTGCCGCGTGGCAAGTGCGCCTTTCAGCACCAGACCCGAAATCTTCATCTGCAATCATTGACCGTACTGCCCAAAAGATAATGTTACCGATAGTCCATGGATAAGAGTCCAGGTTAGCCTTGCTTGACAGCATCTCCGTGAACGTTGCCGACACGTGGTTCACCGGACAGGAACACGAGTGGTGCTGCGGAAGGTCACAGCGGGACCGGGCCAACCTCCTGATCTGACCGCGTACGCTTGTCCCTCAGCAGCATCTTACGAATGGTCAACGCCAAACTCCTTGTGCCCACCTTGGGGGTCTTTGGGGCGCTTCCAGATGCTCCCGCTCCTGCGGTTCCTTTTTTTCCGGCCGCCGTGCCACCATTGGCGCCGATACTCCCTCCAACTGGTTTCGGCAAGGGGGGTGCGCCAGCTGAAACGATCGTTTTGCTGTCCTTTTCTTCACTGGCATCGGCACAGGAACTAGCCTGGGGATCCTTCCTGCTGCTGCCACTGTCCCGTCCTCCCGGGGTGGCTGGCGTTCCGGGTCCTGGTGACGACGAAGACGACCCTTGTGATGGCGAAGGCTTGTTGTTGTTGCTGCGCCCAGCCGCCTTCCCTTTCCCCTTCTCCTTCGCACCAGCGACCGATGTTTTCGCCGACGCTGCTGTCGCCACCTTCATTTTCTTGCTGCTGCTGCCACTACGGTCAGCCGCAAGGGCGGTGGTGCTTCTTTTATTCTTACCTGAGGAGGACGAGGGTGCGGCGGTGGCGGCGGTAGCCGGTTGCTGGGAAGGCGTTCTAGCGCGTTTCCTCGCCTTGATTGGGGTTTCGAAAACATCGCTGTCGTCTCCGGTGGCCCCATCGTCGTCATCGTCCTGCACATGCACAATAACAAGTTGTGCACGATGTACGAACCGTAGAGGTATTTACGGAATGACAAGGACGCAGACCCTCGCAGCCAATTGAACATGTTCTAGGTATGTGGCTCTGGGGGGTACGCTGAAATGTACTGACAACAAGGGACTACCCAATCGAGGTACTGCTCCGTTTGAACCGATGTGCAGTAGTCTTTATAGATATATGAGGGATAAAGGGCACCTGCTGGAACGGGACTCACAATGTAAACTACACAGAGCAGTTGACCGCAAAAACAAAAACTTGGTGTCGTGTGCACCTGGCATTGATATGCTACAGTAATAAATACTGGTATGTACAAGATAAAACGCCCTACAAACCTCTGTTGGATCAACGACAACATTGTCAAGACACCCTCCGGGCAAGGGCTGTGGGCAAGAGGCTAATTGCTGCACTACAGCAGCAGATGATGATTTGTCGAATCATGTCGTGGAACCTTGATTTTCAGAGGAAATCTGCACGCGGTGCACGGTGAACTCTTGATGCACCGACGAAAAATACGTAGTCGTGGCATCCTTACCTCCTCTTCCTCGGACTCAAACGACGCCGACGAATCCCCGTCTTCCTCGCCCTCCTCCCCACAAGCAGAATCGTCCTCCACGAACTCCTCTGAGGAACCGTCTCCTCCTCCGGCCATGATGACGGATCTCCCAGGATCACCAAGCCAGCTTGGCGTTCTACGCAGATTGAAGCAAAAGGCGGGAAAATGCAAAACCGTTGTTGTCGAACAGCGCTACCAAACGTAGTCACGCTGAGTATCTAACTCTCTTTGCACGCGTGATTGGGGGTGGATCGACAACGATGGTGTATGGGGCGAAGGCTGTGGGCCGCGGCCGGAAATTCAAATTGTCAATGCTGTCCTGACAAAGAGTTCGCGAGGCGTTATTTAAAAATAGGAGTAATCACGCCGCAAAGGCCGAGATCTTCTGTCGATGACCTCTCTCTTGGAACAATCTTGGGCTCTGCAAGAGCCTCCCTAAATAGGATACCCTGCTAGAAAAAGAACGAGGCAGTGGCCATGGAAGACTTCATGTCTCATCGTTTGCCCTACGAGGTACGCTACTGCTGAAGGATGTGTATTGTAGAGTATGATCATGATCGCTGACCTCGTGCTTGATTGAGTAGGATTCACCCTGACTTGCATACCATTTGCTGCTGGTGGACAACGGGGCTTCTGCATAGAGATCAGCAGCGTAATTTAGCGGGGGTATCGAGACCGGGCCTTTTGCACGTACGTCAGATTGTACAGATCTATCTGTGTTTCGTTTGTAAGTCCACCATGCACGCCATGGATAATTTTTTAGCGCACACAAGAAGCTAATCGATGCACCGGTCGGGTGCGGTCTCTCCTGCAGTGGGCCCGGCCCGCTCACAAGAAACATGAACAGTATCACAAGAAAGCTCTGTAGGATGTCATCCTGTAGCTTAGTAATGGTAACGTGCTCGATGTTTGAAACGTGTCAAGGTGAAAAGGTCTTGGTCGCCGGCATTCTTACGAATGGGAACCTGTCATCCTGTAGCTTAGCAAAGGCAACGTGCTCGATCTTTGAAATACGTCAAGGTGAAAAAGTCTTGGTCACTGGCGTGTTTCTTACGAGTGGGAGCCGACCGACACCGGTCACTGCTGTGAATGGAGTGTGCGACATCTACCACCTCGTTCAGATTCCACAGGAGGCATGCTCTTCCTTGATATTTACCAGTGATGTTGAGGACGTAGGTCGTGCAAACTCTGGCCAGGCGCGCGTCGCAGCTCCAGCTCTTCTAAGCATAAAAAAAGTATCCACAGATGACAGAACCGAGTGGGTGGTCATACAATCACGACAACAATATAGGTAGGTGTCCCGATATAGTGGCGGTTGAATAGTGCAAAAATGCGGTATAGTGCCGGTAAATTTTCTTGACACAGACACAGGCCTGACTAGTGTCAAACCGGCACTGTTGAGGGCTGCTCGCTATATGGTCGGTTCAGGCACTATTGACCGCCAGTTCACACCTCACAGTCTTTTTTCGCCTCAAGCCTTCCACGCCAACAGGATTCGGAGACGGTTTCCCTTCGAGCTACAAGTATAGCTCGGTTTCTCTCGGTACGCGTGACGTCTTCAAATGTCACGGTTTATCGATCGACCACATTCCACCAATAGACTGGGAGTTCAGTAGTGAGGCGAGCGAAAAGGAAGATAGTGGTAGTGACAAAAGGATATGGAAAATATAGCCAAGGATAGTAGTGATGATGCAACAGGAAAATATGGCGGTGAGGGGAACAACAAGAGTTTCGAGCGAGATGACCTTCCTCACAACAAAGCCGCAGGGGCGCAGAATCTAGATATGAAAGCCCGAAAAATAGTGGGAAAATATTAGTGAAGAGTGTATTAGTGGTGGTAAATAATATACTTCTAAGGAAGGATGAAAACACTCCGAAACGAACGCATGTTCAAAGTAGTATGCCTTGGCAGTCACGTAGTTCTCCTCTCTCTGTTGCTACCATTTCTATATTTTACCCGGAAAATAGCTCAGCCTCCTCCATGACACCCTCTCACGGCCTTGACAAACAAATATTTTCTGTTTTCGACCGCACTGAGACTGACGTCTATTGGTTGGCCAGTCATTTTTCTTGCTTCTGAAGGCTTGGTCTTCTCTCTAGCGTAGTATCAAAGGAACAAGGGAGTTCGTTATCCTCTTCACCCGTTTTTTAGGTTGCATCTGCTTTTGCGTGCTCATGCAAGGAGCACTACATCCATCCATGTTTTACCTCCAAATGTACATCGGGTGCGTGCATGAGCGTCTTTCTTTCGCTGTCGAGGGGTACCTTTGAGGTTGCCTGAATAGTGCTACGGCGTTCTTGCAATATAAAACATCGAAACATAACAATTTGATAGCGAGGTGAACTTTTGTCGGGCAGCACGGTCTACGGTTGAAAGGCAGCAGCAACGTTTCACCAGCGAGTGCTTGCGCTGAGGTTGGAAGAGAACAACTGCTGCAACAAATCTATCTGGAATCAAGTCAATTTCACTGTGACCAACGCCGTGTTTTCGACAGTCCAAGAGCCTCATGAAACTTAATGAAGCCCGCCCACGTCGCCCATCTAACGATTGATCAAAATACCGTTCGTTTGGTACTCTGTCAGCCCTGCAAAGCGCAAGCGCTGCACTCTGAAGTCAAACAGTCCTGAAAAGTGCGAAGCCGGCGCTATAGAGGGATTTTCAGGCCGGCACTATATCGGGACACCTACTGTAGGAATAAAAAAATGCTTCTTGCGATGCGACTGCTATAGTTCAGAAGCTCGTTAATCATTAAAACCCTGAGGTATAGCTCTTTCGGCCCTTTCACTATTTATTGAGCGCACGTAGTTCCGCACGTCTTTTTCCGGATACAAACTCGTGAACGATGGTGCCATAGCTGTGCTCTTTCTTTCTCGCAATGTGCCCCCTTCTTGCCACAGGTTGTGTGTTGGGATTCAGAAGCGCCAGGTTTCGAAGGAGATCGCGTTCAATTTTCAGAAAAAGGCGCCCTTCCGGCTAACAGAGCGCGGCCAGCTTGGAGGTCCGACCGGTGAGTTTCCTACCCTCAAATACTGTGAGGAGCAGTACAGGCATTCCAAACACAACGTGAACGAAAACTCACAACGGTATCTGTTTCAGCCTGCACCAAAGCTGGATAAAGCATCCATCCCTAGAAACCGGCGAGATGACAACCTAAACGCGTTCTTTCAGTAGCCGCAGCCGCAGCCGCAGCCGCTGGAGAAGCAGCAACATATCGTGATGCCTCCTTCATTCTGACGAACGTGCCGCCTCCCGATCTGTCTGCCGTGCTTTCGTCATTTGACACAATAGGCGATGTCGATTCCCGGTGGAGATAGGTCTTCGTCTAAAGGGACCCTGCCGTCTGCAACAAGTTGTGGTGGTTTCCGAGACAGGATTAGCACCATCCGCTACAGAACTCTTTGTCGCGGGGCCGGCTCGCTCGGGAAGAGGAAGTGGAGGGAAAGAAAGAAAGCATCGTTCGTCGTCATGTGCTTTGGAGAGCACTTGGCACAATGGGTCGAAGAAGGCAATAACTCATGATGACTGCATTTCGAAGCTTGTTTCTTCGAACGAACAATACACGGAGAACTTCGAGTGTATTCCTAACGTTGACGTCAAGGGGTCAATATAGGTTTGATGGTAGGGATAGTGGTGGTGGTATCAGCGTGGAGAAAGTATTGCTACTCCCAACGGGGAGATCAGTGGAAAAATAGTGCTTTTGTTGCCAGCTGTGCTTGCATGTGCTTGGTTTCTATTGTTGCCCTCCGTCAAGCTCCTAAGAGCAGTTTTGTCGCCGCTATGTATGTTCCCTACACGGAATGCGGGAGAGGAGTCATGAAGCATGTACCCTCAAGACCCTGGGTCCCCTGCCAAAGGTAACAAGATTATCGATCTGAAAGAAATTCCGGCCCGCTCAAAGATGGCGATTAATCCCTCGCACTGCCGCACGTTTCCGCTTTTCGTCACCCGCGGCAGGAATCCATGGATGTGGCGCGTACAGCCTACCTATCCTCGGTGTTCGTCAGAACCGATCGAACGCACTTCTCCCACGAGCTTACCGGGAAGTTTCTAGAAGGGAATATCGGGCAAGCCTCCACGGAGACATCGTGCAAACATTCTAGAACGTCGAGTGGTTCCAGGTTCCCATCGGCGGTCCTGTCGGGGCTATCCTTTAAGGCTCAATTCTTGCGGCTTGTTTTTTGGGAGGCGGCGGGGTGCTACGATAACCCCGGACGGCAGGTGAGGTGTGAGACGAGATGTGGGGTGTTGGTGTTTGCCGCTACTGCGGCTGATAGCAGTAGTAGGAGTGGTTTGGGGAGTTTGTGGTTAGCTTTCTGTTCGTGCCTCAAGCTCGTCCGTGCTATCATTTATCCTCAACAACCATTTCCCTCGTTTGTTGATGTTTTTTCCTCTCATCCCTTGTTTGACTTGCTGCGATTCCCGTGCTATCATATTGACGAAAACCTTCAGTCACCATGAAAACAAGCGCCTCAACTCTTGCTGACGTCTGCATACCGACAAGAAACACAACGTTTCCACCTCCACGACGTCGCAGATTTCCATTGCACATATTCAAGTCCTGGGATGCGCGTTGAGAGACGAACACTGTGGCCGGATCAAGGTATTTATCTACGGCTTCGAGATTCTGCACTCACACGCCACGAAATCATCGCCACAGTTTACCAAACGAGAATCAAGGTGCTGGATTCCCCTAGTCGTGACATAGAGGATCAACGCTCTACCAGGAGGGTCAGAACATTAATTGCCGATATGACCTACGCTAGGGCGGCGCTTGTCACAGCTACAGGATTGCTTCCCGCAGCTACCAATGTGTCAAGAGTGGGATTCAAAAACGTGATTTCCCCGACAACTTGTTCTCGCAGCCAATGGTGGAGGGGGGCCACGAAAACCACCGATACACCGCTGCCCCCGACGGAGACGATGAAGACAAAGATCAAATTGACCAGGTCCTCTCGGATCTCGGAATCGAACCGGTCTTAGCACAAGGGCCGCAAGGAGTTCATCGAGCAAGGGATTCGTCAGGAGGTGGTGCGGTTTGGGAAGATGAGGCGAAAAGGGGTAAGGTGGGGAAGAGGGGGCCACGAGGGGAGGGAAACGCCTCTGCCGCTTTAGAGCAGACAATAAGAGTGAAGCAGATGCTCCAGGTTGCGCACCGGTGAGCCTGTTGATATACGTGTCAGGCGCTGCAACATGTGACATGATAATGCGGTCCTACTTCATGTGCATGCATCAATTCCCCGTGCAACACACAACGTGTTCTACAATCACTACA